CCCACTCCCCACTATCCCTCAGTTACCTGAGAGACCAAACACCTGCCTATCCCAGAGTCATAGAGTCATAGAGGTCTATACACAGAAAAAATTCTTCCAGCCCATCCCGTCCATACTGGTCAAAAATAGCCACGTTACATTTCAACATTGGAACTTCCATAACCCTCTCAGCCAGAGAATTCCAAAGATTCTCAAAGATTGAGTGAAATGATTTCTCCTCGTCTCACTCCAAAATGATAGGCTCCTTATCCACAGATTCCCCAACCAGCAGAATGAGTTTTGATGAGTTCACCTCTCACTCTTCAAAACTCCAGAGAATATCAATTTAAATTGCTGAGCTTCTCTTTTCAGGGGAAGCTGTTTATTGCAGGTTCCAATCTTGCGAACACACATATTGTGGAATTCCGTTATGATGATGATCAATACACCACAAATTCTTTTCTAGCACAAAGGCCTCACAACATCCAAAAGGGATAAATCTTTATTTTGTAAGTTAAAAATAGGAGACATTTAAATGTTTCTCATTAATGCACTCCGGTTGTAACGCAGTTTTACTTTCTGGATCTTAGCAACCAAAGTGGACTTCCATTGTATATAGTTTCTTAAATACAGAGACCAAAACTGGACACTGTGCACCAGATATGGTCTCACCAATGCAATGTACAATTGGAGCAAGACTTTTTTTATCTTGTGATAAAGACCGACATGCCACTTCTCTTCCTAATTACTTGGTGACCCTACATTAACCCGTCTTCCTGGCTCCTCGTGTAATTTCAGGGAGAGGACAAATTCAAAAAAGTAAGATGCTTTAATAGAAGTGAGGTTAATGTGTTCTCTCTCCATCCAATGAAATGCAATTTCCATTCTTTTCCAACTTAATTTCCAAAGCAGCTGCCCGAAGGTCTGGCTGCAGGAGTGGAAACAGCTGGGAGTAGCCTCGAGTGTGAACTGATCCTCTATGATTTGTCAATCTAATGAAGCCCTCTTTTTGGCTGTATGTAGTGGTTGAAGCTGATCAACCCTTTTAATAGCAGTTAGCAGCTGCTCCATTGTGTGTCAGCTGTGACTCAAAGAGTAACACTGTTGTCAGTGGGTTGTGAGTTCAAACCTTATTCCAGAGACTTAGGGAAATAATTAATAGTGACATGCCCAGTGTAGTACTGATGCGTGCTGTTTGAGACCCATAGGTCAGTTGGGCACATGAGGTTTCATAAGTTGATTGTAAATCAGGGTTTTCATAAAGTCATATAGCATGGAAACAGGTCCTTTAGTCCAATTCGTCCATGCTGACCAGATATCCTAAACTTACCCAGTCCCATTTGCCTGTGTTTGGCCCATATCCCTCCAAACCTTTTCTATTCATGTACCTGTCCAAATGGCTTTTAAATGTTGTAATTGTACCCACCTCTACCACTTCCTCTGGCAGCTTATTCCAAATGCACACCATCCTCTGTGTGAAAAAGTTACCTTCCCAGGCCCCTTTTAAATCTTTACCCTCTTGCCTTAGAATCAAGAATCCCTACAGTGTGGAAAAGGCCATTCAGACCGATATGTCCACACAGACTCACCAAAGAACAACCCACCCGGACTCACCCACCCCACCCCCCCACCCTATCCCTGCAGTTTCCATGGCTAATCCACCTAACCTACACATCCCTGGGCACTATGGGCAATTTAACATGGCCAATCCACCTAACCTGCACATCTTTGGACTGTGGGAGGAAACCGGCGCACCCAGAGGAAACCCAGGCAGACACAGAATGTGCAAGCTCCACACAGACAGTCACCCGAGGTTGGATTCGAACCTGAGTCCCTGACACTGTGATGCTTTAAGAAATTTGGAAAGTTCATTCTGTTATGGCTGGAAAGAGGAGAATCTCCAGATTAGGCCTTTAAGCTGGTATTCAGTTCAGAACATTTCTGAAAACTATCTTTTGATGGCCACTTGACATTAAAATTTGGTGGAGTTCTGAGGAGCGGATATATTCGAAGCTGGGAGAGATGTTCTTGTGAAACTTATTATTCTGTGAAGAGTGCTAGGTATAGTAAAAGCAAGGTCATCATAGCCCTACTGGACCATAGGGCTGCCCTTGCACGAGAGAGAGAGAGAGTGATGGATGGTGATTTAACCTGAGAGTCACCACACCTCAGGTGAGGGGAGAGGTTGGGAAGGAGAGTCCTTCACAGGAACCTCAGCTGGTACAGAGATCGAGCCTATGCTAATTAAATCAACTCTGCACTGGAAACTGGCCACCTGAGCAGACCTTCTCAAGACTAATCAGGAATTGGTAATATTTACTAGTCTAGTCAGCAATGTCCACATCCCTTCAATCAATGTAAAAAAAATGGGTACGTGTGGCAAGGAGGATTTGATCATGTTAAAAGTTAAAGTGGAGGCTTTGTTTCCCTGCAGTTCAGTATGTTAGACATATGCTAATTATTGTTTAGTTAATGTTGCTATGAGTTTGTTTGTTACAGGAGAAGTCTTAACCGAAATCTTGTCACGAAATTCCTTTAAGTCAGTCAATGGGAAAGCATATATATATGTAACAGTTATCTGCCAGCAATCATAACACAATAAACATTGAGTTGGAATCAAAAGATCTCTGGCATCATTATAAGGAAAGGCATGGGGCTTCCCTAGTGTCCGAGGCAATAGATGTTCTTCGACTAAAATCATGAGAGCAAGTTGGCTACTCCTTCCAAACTCAACTTTAAAAATCTCCACTTTCCAAATTAATCTTTTTCTTTAACATCACCGCCGTTGCACAACATGATGTGACTCCATCAGCTAAATAAATCCCCTAGGTTGGAGGCAGACATACAAGAATTCCCCGAGCTGGGCCAGAACAACTGAAATGCAAATTACAGTCTCCAGTATCGGCTATCCTTTGGTTCAAGGACGTCATCTACTATGTGACATGTACTTCTGCCGTGGGTCATCATGTGACTGAACGAACCTATTACCACCCAGCACCTCGGGCCGGAAATCCCTCGAGGTAATAAGCCTGAGTCCGGATCAGAGTTCGCTTCCTGGTGTTTCGCTCTGCTGCTACTCTGCCCTATCATTAAGGAGTTTGGACTCAAAAAGTTACAATGATTGCACTTCAAATGTAGTTCATTTTCTGTAAATCATTTTAAGATGATACAAGGTTATGGAAAGGGCTAAATAAATGTGACCTTTGTTTTTCTATACCTTTAACAAGATGCTTGCTGCTCCAGTGGTGGCTTTAATGTGGTGCTTTGAAGTCCCCTTCTTCCACTACCCAACCACAAAACTCGAGCCATGAACTAGGCTAAGCCTGGAGTACAGTATTGAGGAAGAGCTTTCTTGTCCATACGTACTTTCCTTTGGGTGAGACATTAAACTGAAGGCCCATCTGTATGTTTAAAGGGGCATGAAAGATGCCTCAGCAACATTCAGCCACGCTTTATGTATTTGATACTGTTGCTTTGTTCTAGTTCACTGGAATATACTGCAACTCATCAGGGAGTAAGGAACAGAAGAAAAGATTGATGGATAAAATAGGTAGGAAAAAGCTTGTGTGGAGCATAAACACCAGCATGGACCCCTGAGGCTGAATGGCCTGTTACAGTTCTGTAACTGTCCTTCTCATTAAAAACCCATCACAATGTGAAGCATTTAAAACAATTTTATTGGCATGATAAAGCGTCACATCAATAGTTGTCAATGTTTCTTCTCACATCTTGGAAGTTTCCCAATTTTCCCAAATTCTGTGGAAGGGTCACCAGACCCGAAACGTTAACTTTGTTTTTCCTTCACAGACGCTGCCAGACCTGCTGAGCTTTTCCAGCAACTTTGTTTTTGTTTTTTTTCCCCAATATTGAGCCTGCGGTAGAGTTAGGGCAAGGGTTAGGGTTAGGATTAAGGTTAGGGTTAGGGTTAGGATTAGGATTAAGATTAGGGTTAGAGTTAGGGTTATGGTTAGGATCAATGACAGTTCTTGTGCAAAAAGCATCGCCTGATTACATCTGAGAGAAACTTGTGAAGAACTCCACCTCTTCAGGGAGTGTCAGCTCTCTCACTCGGGACCTTCACTCACAACCACACAACTCAGATCAGCAACTCAAATGGAAGATGTGAATGGGACCCTCTTGGAGTTATATTCTGTCTCACAGCTAGTATGCAGTACACTTCTAAGAGGCATCCTAAAAAATATCATCACCATTCATAGCATGTGACCTGAGGATTATAAAGTCTCAGCCACCATCTTAACTTGGGCCACTTGAAGCACGACATGGAGATGGAAATGTGCAACTATTTGTAACTGAATAGCTTAGTACTAGCCCACACACTGAAGTTGCTCACTGTAATATACATATATACCAGGAGCTGTAATAAACAAGTGTCGAATCATCCAGTTACTCACATAGAATGCTATGGGGGCTAACATAATGCATCATCAGGTCCGAATAAACAGTCTGCTGAAGGCAAAAGCCCACCATATGGTAGGAGATCTCTTGTATGGACCTCCCCCAATAACCCCACATCTCAGGTCAATAACGTGAATGAAGAACTGCAAATGATAGCACTTTGGAGTGGAACAGGTGTGTGGAGGCAATTTGAATTTAGTCAGAAAGTTCTGTAATGTACTTTTAGAAATCCTATGAATAAAATATGCTTTGGGGAAAGCAATAAATTGCACTGGCCATTATTTCTATTTCAACAGGGGTACCATTCAAAAATCAGGAAAAAGGAAAGTAGATTACAGATTTTGAACAGTGTCTTTCTGACCTCGAGAAGTGCTTGACTACCAATGACCTCGGTTAGAAGTGCCAAACAAATTCCACTTCTAGTAAAATCTGTTGTAAAGAGATTGTCAAAGCCAGACCAAAGCAGACACCATTTGGCAGCTCTTTCGTTGCTTTTAGACAAAATAACAACACCCTACACATGGAAATAGTTAGCGATGGAAAAAAAATGCTGCAATTTATCCGCTGCTGCACCAACTGCCACTTTAAAGTAAGGAAGTCTTCTCTCTGTCAAAACAGTACGTAGGCAGGGTCCTCCCTACTCTTAATGAATTTCAGTTGTTCTGGCGCAGCTCGGGGAATTCTTGTATGTCTGCCTCCAACCTATGGGATTTATTTAGCCGATGGGGTCACCTCATGTTGTGCAACAGCTGTGATGTAAAAGAAAAAGACTGATTTGGAAAGTGGAGCTTTGTAAAGTTGAGTTTGGAGAGAGCAGACTGCTCTGCTTTTTTGGTTTGATAGGGAGGGTCCTCAAAAAGAAATTACAAACTTCTTCTCCTTTCAAAAACAAACTTTTGGAAGCTGTTGGAAGGACGTAGAGATGATGTTTCCCTGGTTTAGATTTTTACTGTGTAGCCTGGATTTGTTTAGCACAGCAGCAGCGGTAGCTCGCTATGATACGGGACATATGATGCCAATTGAAAGCAACACGCTGACCAGAGAGCTCAATGTCCCTGAGCTAGATGAGTATGATTACACTGAGCTTGAATACTATGACGATGATGAAGACAACTACGGCTTCATAGAAGACACGTTTGTAAACAAAAGGCCATTCACAGCTCCCCAGAGCTCGGAGTCCATCCGTAAGAAATTCCGGGGTAAATCTCGGATCCAGCGCCTGTCCTTGATCAACACCGATTTTGCATTTAACTTCTACCGGGCCTTGCTAAGGTCCCAGTCAGCTTCCAAGAATGTGGTTTTCTCTCCTTTCGGGCTCTCCAGCCTGATGGCAATGGTCATGGTAGGAACGGCCAACAAGACGCAGGAACAGATCTCTCAGGCTCTGGGTTTTGACCATTTTGTCAACTCCAAGCCAGACGTTGTAGGCAATGAGCTGCTGCATTATATCTTCCACAAGCTCATCCACAGGCTGTTCAAGCACGACTTTGGATACACGCTCAAAGATTTCTCAGGCATCTTCATCAAGGAAGGGCTGAAGATCCGGAAACCTTTCATGGAGTGGTTGAAGCATTACTACGGGGCGCACACACAGTCTGTGGACTTCTCGGCCCCGCAGGCTCTCACCAAACTCAATCAGCTTATTTCAAAGGCCACCAAGGGGAAGCTTCAAGACCTGGTGGAAGATATTGAGCCTCAGACTGCGATGCTTATTTACCAAGCATTACACTTCAAAGGTCAGTGTTTCAGGATACGTGGTTTTTTATAACCACTGATTAAGTATAGATAGATATTGAGCCAGAATTGGCTGTCAAAACAACGTTGCGATTAATATTGTCGCCCTTGTATATGTGTAAATAAGACAGCAACTTCTGATCACATACGATGCACCGTAGAAAGTGTGTCTCCAATGGTTTATATCTGTGTTACACTACACTGCTATTAGCTTGGCGTCTCGCTGTTTGTCTCTGAAACGTATTGAATGGGAATTCAGTGCTGTATTGTGTGGTAGACATGAATTAAATCTGCTCCAGAAAGTCAAGTCCTGTCCATTCCAGGGTAAGTACTTTTTAACAATGTGACAAGTGTTAATTGCTGTCCAATGACCTCCCTGGCACTGCAAATGATCTATTACATTCACAGAGTCGTATTCTTTAGGTTTTAATTATTGGGTATTTTAAACATGTCAACCACTTAAAATTTCTATTCTGTCTTTTTGTCCCCCTATGTCTTATAATCCAATCTTTCTTTCTCTATCTATTTTTATTCCTGTATCTGATTTGACATTGAATTCATCCACTTTAATTTACACTTTCCTCTAGTCCTTGCACTATTAATTTACAATCCTTCAATCGTGATTAAAGTGGTTTCATTACTTCGGCGAATTCTCCAGTTTATCTCATTGTAATGTTATCAGCTCTGACTTTCAGGGACTTGCAATATTAAAAGAAAAACTTAAATGTACATGGGCAACACTAACAAACAACAGAGACTGTAGTATGCCTGGCCACTGCACACTACAGCCCAGTGTTAAAAGGGTAGTCACATTTGCCTGCATCAAGTTGCCAGATGTGTAGAATGTAGAATGTAACATTTCCCAAACAGTATCATGGTTTAATAGTGTGTCAACTTGGATAAACAGCAGTACAAGGGATTCTGTCTTGTTAAAATTATTTCATGGGATGTAAAGGTAAAGTTGCCAGATTCCTACGTATTCATTCGAGAGAGACAACTGGTGGAGGTTTAACCTGAGGGTCACCACCTCCCAGGTGAGGGAAGAGAATCCTTCACAGTAGCCTCAGTCTAGGGGGGGAATTGAACCCGTGCAATTAGTATCACTCTGCACTGCAAAACAGCCATCCAAGCTAAACCACTGTCACTCACCTGCTAACCCACCATGGATATAGGTATCAATGGTAGAGACACATTTGTTGCCCATCTGTCCTTAGCTTTGAACTGAGTGGCTTGCTGAGCTATTTTGGGGCAATTAAGAGTCAATGGCATCACTGTGAATCTTTTCATCACATGTAGGCCAGACCGGGTAAGGATGGCAGATTTCTTTCTCTGGAGGGCATTAGTGAACCAGGTGGGTTTTTACAACAAGAAGTTCTGAGGAAGGGTCACCGGACCTGAAACATTACCACTGATTTTGCTTCACAGATGCTGCCAGACCTGCTGAGCTTTACCAGCCACTTCTGTTTTTGTTTGGGTTTCTATAACACTTGATGCTCCCCAGCAGTGATACTAGCTTTATGCTCCAGAATTATTCACTGAATTTAAATTCCACCCATCACCGTAGTGGGATTTGAACCCAGGTCCCACAGTGCATGAGTCTGGATTTATTAGATAACTTGTCTAGCCTCATTACCATCAGCAAACCCTCTAAGGTGCCTGGCCACTCTGCTGCTCCAAGGATCCACACATGATGATCCGATTCCATTCCCAGCATTGACCTCTGATTTGGGAAGACACTCCTGGACACAGATCTTGGAGGTTTGTGCAGGAGGAAACTAAATTAGTGGGAACATCGATTACCACCAGGCCATTTAAGCAAGTTGCCCATGTCGTCAGTTGCAAGCAGAAACATTTAATCACAGGGAAAGGGAAAGGGTGTGGACAGAATCCACACTGGGCATAGTTTCAGGCTATTTAGCAGCTGTGCTGTTGGGAAAGTACGGATGGGAAGAGCAGAAATACCTAAACAGGAGGGATCATAATATATAGCACTTCTCTCAATGCTTCCCAAACTGGGGGCCAGGACCCCAAGTGGGTTTCATATTTAAAAATTTTGGGTTTGCAATCTTCAAGGCAGGAATGATACTGAGGAGCTCTGACTGCGTTCCTGCTGTAACTCCCACACTCTCAATGGGCTAAGCCCCAACTCTCACAGGTCCTTCCTTCACCGAAACTTCCCCTCCCTCCCTGCACTCTCCCTCCCTCCCAGCCTTGACTCTTTCCCTCCTCTGTCCCTGCTGTCTCCTTCCTCTCTTTCCTCCCCCACTTCTCTCTGCTCTGTTAGCTATCACTGACTGGCTGTGTTTTTGAATTTTCAAGCCTCAATAAGGAGGTTGCAGTGGGAAAGGGTTTGGGTGGCAGCTCCATCGCATCACTCTTATCCTCGTTAACTCTGCTTTCCCTCCACGTATGCTTCCAGACCTGCTAAGTTTCTCTGGCAATTTCTGTTTCTTCTCGTATAAATGCAAAACAGCCTCTCCTTTCAAGGTGCTGCATAAGTGTCAGTTGTTTGTTACCGTGATATCGATCAGGGAATGCAGAGACACTGTCTCTCCCAGCCTGTCCGGGATGTTCAGTATCCATTTTAAATGGCACTGGTTTCTAAGCTTCAGTTTCACTAGGCCTCCCTCACCAGAGGAGCTGGCTTAACTGAAAGAACCAGCACAGCTTCTGACATCTGACCTTTGAGTTTGAGTTGTGTTTGAGAACATGGGCTTCCACCCTATTGCCACTTCAGATGCAGTTCCATGTTGTCCAGGGAGCTCAGTAAATGGAAAGGTCTTAAATTAAAAAATACAAAAGCACAGATGGGGGAAGGGAGATATACAGAGAAGCTTGGAAAGTTTGCATCATATATTACTACTGGACAGGGTCCACACTTCACTGATATGTATATTTACTTACTGTCTCACAGACTAGAGGTTGGAGATAAAGTGAAACTTTGAAATACGTTCCTGTTCACTTTCAAATTCACCCATTCAACTTGGCCGTGGCTTCCTTGGCAACTTAGTCTCTGAGTTGGAGTCATTGATGGGTAAAACCCCACTGCAGGACTTAAAAACAAACTCTAGGCTGGTGCTCTGAGTGCTGTACTCAGGGAGTGCTGCCTTGATAAAGCACAGAGATTAACCTGAGTTCCTTCCTGCTGTATCCCATAGCGCTGCAGTGAAAAGGGTAAGGGAGTCAGCCAGCCTGACTTAGTATTTACCCCTTGACTAAAAGCAGTATATCTGGTCTTTATCAATTCGCTGCCTGTGGGATCTAGCTGTGCACAAGTTACCCACTGTGTTTCCTGCATCACAACAGTTGGAAACACTGCAAAAGTGTTTTATTAGCCATAAAGTATTTTTGAATGTTGACGTTGTTAAAGGCGCTACATAAATAAAATAAATAAAACCCCTGTAAATCAGAAACAAAAACAGAAGTTGCTGGAAAAGCTGGAAAAGGACCCGAAACATTAACTCTGATTTCTCTTCACAAATGCTGCCAGACATGCTGAGCTTTTCCAATTGGAAAAGGACCCGAAACGTTAACTCTGATTTCTTTTCACAAATGTTGCCAGACCTGCTGAGCTTTTCCAATTGGAAAAGCTGGAAAAGGACCCGAAACATTAACTCTGATTTCTCGTCACAAATGCTGCCAGACCTGCTGAGCTTTTCCAATTGGAAAAGCTG